CTACTCAGTCAGCTGAGACCGGACAGTGACACTAGCACATCGAGCAGCGATGAGGCACCACCGCTGCCACCTCGCCGCTACCTCGTGTCAGACTCTGGAGACGAATCGGACGACTTTGACAAGATCGGCAGCTTGGAGCGTGGCTTCCATGGTGCTGGTGAGTGTGGTAGCATTGCGTTGGTTCTGTTTGCGTGGTTCATGTCCTTCTGCTGGTGCTCAAAATTTCCTTGAGTCATTTTGAATACACAGGTCAGTTCTTGCAATACATCCTTGGCTAAATAAGGGGTCGTCCATAATTATCGAACTTTTTTCACAAAACGAAATAATTTCGTTATGGGGTGGGAGGGGGTTGACCAATTTCTTTTCAGAAAACATTGATACATATGCATGCCCATAGGAGCAGTTACACACTTGCAACTTTTGTTGTATTATGCATGCATATGTCAAACTTTTTTTACGTTCTGAGGGGGAGGGAGGGAGGGGTTGGGTCTAAACTAAAATAATTCGTTTGGTGAAAAACGTTCGATAATTACGGACGGCCCCTAACCTTTAAAACATTTCTTCATAATTATCTTTTTGAGAGTCTCAGTCTAGCAGTACTAACCACATAGCATTGGTTAGACGAGAAGAAAGAAATGCCAGTGTATCTGGTGAAGTAAAATGGAAACAAACAAGCACCCCCTCCCCGACCATCCCAATATCTTGTAGAACCTGTGGCCTTCGATTCACAGCCATATCCTACATAAGCATCACATGAGCATCACATAAGCATCACATGAGTGTAATGCACCACAGATTATCAAGGACGATGCTCAGGTGCATAAGCAGCCCCGCAGCCTAGTAGCCAGTAGGGTAATATGGTGCAGGCTACTAAGGCAGCACGCTCTGAGTTCCTCCGCACTGTCTTGGCACAGGCCGTAGAGATGCTGCAAGTTTCACTCGCTAGTGGTAGAAATGGGACTGAAAACCATTCCTCAGTTAGTTGCAGGATATTTGTGAGATCCTCACCCTCCATTGAAACCTGTCCGTGCGAATCCACACTCCCCCTCCCTTCTTCACGTAACAAAATACGCCCATGTATCCAAGGGACGTACCGCACTCATCACCGAAGGTCGTACACACTTTGAAGGGCAATTGGAAATCTCACACAGTAACAGCTGCTAACACAGTAACATACCAAGGTGACAGTTTTAAAAGCAGTGGAATCTGTGGGTTCAGTGAAATATACAACATGAGAATGTGTCACTAGTGAGAAGCTGTCTCGCCTATCACTTGGTTCCAGTATGATGATGATGCGATGAGTGTAACAACTGACTACCAGCATGCTGTGCTCTCACTCACACGTGTCACTGCACTGCTGACCCGCATCCCAACACTGACAATAAGGGTGTTGTTGTAGGTGATAACACTTGCACCGAGGATGTGATCTAGATTAACACATGTAGAACACATACATAGCGGCAGAGCAGTCAATACAGATCCTTGCGGGATCTTTGTGCCAGTTTGGAATAATTATTATCAGCTGACGGGTGCTCCCAGGGCTATGAAAGCCAAGGGAGAGAGGTTCATTCTGCTTTTGAAGAATACAAGAACTATATAGAACAGACTGCTGATGGCAGTGGTGGAGTCACGCATATTCTGGCAATCTTGTCCTGCCCCGCACTGGAGAATGCTTGTCGCTGGTAAATACAGATGGACGACGTGTTTGAAATCAACTGCGGTGATGCTGTGTGGCTGGCAATGGCATGAGCATGTGCTGCTTGTGTTCTCAGCAACTTTGCATACACGTAGACGTAATATTTCTTGTTGCTCACATGTTTTGGTTTTATTTCCTAAGAGATAAAAAATCACTTGTACTAGGCCATCCGTTCTTACTCGCCCGTACACTGATTGTCATTATAACTAAGGTAGGTTGTTTTTGTACTGATCTTCATTGCTCAAATCTGGCATCTTTTTCCCTGCTGTGTGTATGTGTGTTTTCGTGTGTGTGTGTGTGTGTGTGCGCGTGTGTGTGTGTGTGTGTGTGTGTGCGTGTGCGTGTGCGTGTGTGTGTGTGTGTGCGTGTGTGTGTGTGTGTGTGTGTGTGTGTGCATGCGCGTGCTCTGGTACAGGCAACGGGAATGAATGGAACAGCATATTGGTAAGCATACAGCGGACAACATAGGCGGGTGTAATCATTTTGTGTAGTACTTTGCCGGCAGTCTGTGCTGGGTGGTGTATAATAGAGTAGAGCAGTGTGTCCCTTGGGGGTTTCTCGTACACCAATACGTGCTTTTTGATAGTTCAGCAGAGTTTGTGCCCTGAAGATTCTAATGGAGCGCATAGTGATCCTCACATCATATGGAAGATTTTCCGTGTTTTTAAGCATCCCAATTTGATGCAGGGGTTTGTGCACAAGAAATAGTTGGGAGATGCGGAATTTAACGTTCCGAGTGTGTAGGTAGCGTGACTACTGAGTTATGTAGCAGTGTATGACGGTGACCTGCATGCATGGCTGTGGGTGCCACGTACCACAGCTACAGGTATGGCGGCATCAAGCTTGTGTATGCTGTGTTGTGCTGACTGTGTTTTGATGTGCAGCGACTCAGCCGCTCTCGCATGTCCATGCACTCGGAGGTAAGTTAGTCAGTGCTGGAAATAACTTAGTTTTCTGCTGTCCGTTACCCCCCCCCCCCCCCCCAGCCTGGTTGGTCTGTCTCAGGGATGTTGCCGTGTTTGGCCGGGGAGTTCATAGCTCATACCCTGTCAGGGTGCCTACCTAGGGAGTGTGGTCATTGTGCTGCGTGTTGATTAGCACATCCCTACTCACAGTTAGGATTTACAGTAAAACCTGTCAAGGAGACCACTCGGATAAGGTGACCGACCACCTGTCCTAGAAGACCACTGACACCAGGACCAAGGGATACTATTTCCAGTCAAATGACCCTTGATAAGGAGACCACCTGGTAACAGAGACCACGTTTTGAAGGTCCCTTGAGCGGTCATCTTAGACAGGTTTCACCGTACTGGTACTGGTTTCACAGCTTAGTAAACCTCTCCGATATTCAACCCCGTAGCTTAGTGTATGCGTGTCTGGCATGTACAGGACTAGAATGATTGTGTGTGACACTGTAAAACAGCCACCATGCCTTTGACGCATGCATTAGTTTCTTGCACGAGTAGGATCAGGATGGCTGTGTGTGACACTGTACAATCACTGTACAACCATGCCTGGGAATCATGTCGATGTGCGACACTGTACAACCATGCCTTGGAACCATACTGTACAACCATGCCTTGGAACCATGCCTTGGAACCATGCCTTGGAATCATGCCTTGGAATCATGCCTTGAAATCATGCCTTGGAATCATGCCTTGAAATCATGCCTTGGAACCATGCCTTGAAATCATACCTTGGAATCATACCTTGGAATCATGCCTTGGAACCATACTGTACAACCATGCCTTGGAATCATGCCTTGAAATCATACCTTGGGGGAATCATGCTCTAGAACAGACATGGAAGAGAACTGTTACCAGGGGGGGCTTGAAAAAAGCAAAAAAAGTAAATTATCGTGTCCGTTCCCGAGGGAACTCCCGGCGGCCGCTAACACCGGGTAAACACTAGCGGCAAATGAAGCGCCTAACGGTGGGGGTGACGGGATAAGTCTCACAACCACTGGCACAAGTGTCGGAAACCCCATTTGCCTCATCCGTGTACCCCTTGTGCCTGGCCTCAAGTTCTTAGTTGACTGTGGGTAGCAGCACGGCTGGAAAACCATGCTCCCAAGCAGGACCTGAACCAGGCACCTCTCGTTTATCAGGGGGCTTTGCAGCCTATAGTTATTTGTATATTGCACGGGTGAGGTGGTGTTGCCTGCACTGACCTCATGCTGTTTAATGTGACTGCAACGCTATTTTCGTCCTTGTCTCTGTAGCTTCTATCGAAGCACGCGAGCAAGGAGCAACGGAAGCAACGGGAGAAGCAGCGGAAGCGGGAAGAAAAGGAGATGCGCGAGCAGGAACGGCGCGAGAAGCATGAACTGCGGCAGCAGAAGAAGAAGCAGGAGAAAGTGGAGCGTGCAAAGAAGAAGGCTGCGCACAAGCAGGCAAAGGCTAAAGGTTTGTTAATTAAAATGAGACCCGGACTCGATAATCCTATTCCTTCACGTTTACGAGGGGTTCACGTCATGCTGTATAGATTTCTAGTATCATTGCTGCATAGCATGCATCACCCTCGTGCAGTTTTCTACCCACTAAAACCTTTTCCAGAGAACCTGAATTTGACCGAAATGGATTTGTCTTTGTGTGTGTGTGTGTGTGTGTGTGTGTGTGTGTGTGTGGTGTGTGTGCCTTGCTTGCTTGTTGACAGCAGGAAATGAATTTCTAAAGCAGTATATGGTTGATGGCGTCGGACCGGGATCATCCTATTTTGGAATCTATCTACATGATTTACCCGTTCGCCAAGACGGCTCGAAGATCCCGCTCTTTGTCGAGCTGTGCGTGGACCATATTGAGCAGCATGGTAAGTGGTATTGTACGTGCCAGTGTTCTTTGATAGTCGTCTGCGTTTTGGCCCTTTCACCTCCATCAAGCTAGTGGCTTTCTGCTGAATTATCTTTTTGTCTATTTTCAGATGACACATGCCAAACAGAGAAGTGACAAATTGCAATCATCCATGATGCATTGTGGACGCAGAAAATCTGTGTGGTTGACTTTGATGTCAGATGTAAAATTGTGAAAAAGAAAGAAAGAAAAAGAAACCATGGTTGTGATTATGATGGTAATACTGGTGTTTCTGCTGCTGCTGTCAATGCTACTGCCATCGGGTCTGCAGTGGAGAAGGGTGTGAGTGTCGTTGCGCTGGTAGACTGGCCAATACCAATATCAGGCATACTGGCCTGCCGGACCCGGTCCGGTTGGTCAGGATATTACTGGACCAACTTGTTTGCCACCAACACGTGTTTTGCTGCTGTAAAGGGTATGACTGTGTACCCGCCATATCATACACAAACTGTAGAAACAGCCATCCGTGTTTTTGTCGGACCAATCAATAATTTCTTCCAGCGGTCGTGGTATAAATGTTCGTACTTGTCATCATTGCCCTGCCTATCCGCACTGCTGGCCTGGGGCAGCTACACGCTGATTTATCTGCACTTTCTTTAATAGCGCTATCATCCTGAGTTTGTCCGTTGTGTGTGTGTGTGTGTGTGTGTGTGTGTGTGTGTGTGTGTGTGTGTGCGTGCGTGCGTGCATGTGTGTGTGTGTGGGGGGGGGGTGCGTGCGTGCGTGTTGGTGGGTGGGTGTTACTGTGTGTGTGTGTGTGTGTGTGTGTGTGTGTGTGTGTGTGTGTGTGTGTGTGTGTGTGTGTGTGTGTGTGTGTGTGTGTGTGTGTGTGTGTGTGTGTGTGTGTGTGTGTGTGTGTGTGTGTGTTACTGTGCGTAGGCATCGAGTCGGGCGGTATCTACAGGGTGTCTGGCAAGAAACCATCGGTGGACAAGTTGCAGGAGGACTTCGCAAAAGGTGTGGTTCTTTCTCAGCATTGTTGTGGTGTCTATAGTCTGCTGATGGCATAGTGCTGGCTTCTGGTGTAGGACTTTGAGTACTAATACTCTTGTGCTTGTGAGGAGCTGGACGAAGTGAGACTCAGTGTAAGGCACCTTTGCCTTGCCGAACAAATACAGATACCCAATCCCTGATGGGTCTCCTGGCACTGGTGATACACTAGGAATTGAGCATGCAACCTCATGTTTGGAGAGATGGCCACCTGAAATGCCAGTTTCATGAGCCCTGTCACTAGGGTGAAGGTTCAGAGAGTAGCAATGTGTTCATACCATTTTGTTTGTGGAAGACAGTACTGTTGAATTCGGGTTTAGTGCCAATCTCAAGGTGCAAGAGTAGTCCTGAAAAAAGCGGCTGAGATATTGCATACCGGATCACCAGACAGCCTAGTTCTCTAGCTCTCTCTCAATCTCTCTCTCTCTCTCTCTCTCTCTCTCTCTCTCTCTTTTGATCTTCCTTTCTCACCTAGATCCTTGATCCTAGAGGGTGATGGTATTCCTGTGGATGTGGATAACTCAGTTTAACTGAGTCTCACGCCAACCGTCATTTTTTTCTGAGAGCATGCCTATGTATGAGTGAATAGTGAGCAGGCCCACCAGTGATAGCTGAGCACAGTTGTATGGATTATTGAGTTAGCCGTACAACATAGAAACAGCCTGCCTTTGGCTTTGTACAGCATCTGCCTGCTTCCCGCCCCCAATTGACATGACAGTTGTGTTGCTGTGTGATCTCTATTTGGGCTTTCAGATCCGCTGAACACTACGATTGATATCGAGGAGATGAACGTGAACGTTGTGGCCAGTGCCATGAAGTCATTCTTCCGTCGCCTCCCGGAGCCTCTCATTCCAACTCCAATCCTGGCCCCGTTAGCCAAGTCGTTGTGTGAGTGTTGCACAGCTTGTGCTTGACATGTGTTCTTCTATGATCTCAATCCTGACCATGCGGCCGTATGTACAGTCGTGGCCAACGAAATCTGAACCGCTAGTCAAAAACAGCGCCATGTTTCCATTTCGATTGTATCATGCATGTTTCAAAAACCCATCCGAGGGCTGCAGGAGGCGCATGAGCCGAGACACTCGGTTGATTTCTTTGACGACGACCATTGAGCTATATTCGTTATCTAGCACAGTAGCCGGTGGAGTTTGGAGAAGGTCTTGGGTACCACACCCCCATGTACAGCAATCTAGTATGAGAGCCCCAAGAAGATCTGTCTGTCCGTTCACCTGTCCCTCTGCCCCTCTTTCTGCCCACCTGTCTGTCAATCCGTCCGTCTATCTGTCCACAAAGTCGCAGTGGTGCCAGACAATATTAAATGCAATCCATGCACCTTGCCTGGTGTTGTGAAAACGTTCATTCTCCCTGGGACCAAGGGTGTTGAGACGGATAGGCTTAGCGCGCGTAGAGTGAATTTGTATTTCTTCATAATGTGTTCCACAGCCACAGCAAATGAGCTAGAAGATCAGCTTCAGGATATGAAGGTTTTGATAAATGCTGGTGTGCCTTCTACGCACTTCACTCTCCTCAAGTACCTCTGCCGCCATCTGAACAGGTATACTGTCACCTCTGTTGTCCATGGTGCTGTGCTCTGCCCTGGGCGTGTGTGTGTGTGTGTGTGTGTGTGTGCGCGCGCGCGCGCGTGTGTGTGTGCGTGTGTGTGTGTGTGTGCGTGCATGTGTGTCTGTCTGTCTGTCTCTACTGCTTGGAAAGCCCTGTCTTAGGCCATCGAGCACTCTTTGGGAAATGCCACTACCTAACTTACTTGTTGTGAATACAGTACGAGTATAGTACATATTGTGCGGCACACACACACACACACACACACACACACACACACACACGCGCACGCACACACACAGACACAGAAACATACACACACACACACACACGAGATAGCGCAATGATTATGTTGTCCGTAGGACCGAGTGCACTCCTATCCTTTTGACCTTTGACCATTTGACGCCCATCGCTGGAGGTGATGAGAGCGATGCTACAGCAGAAGCCATAGCAACTTTTGCTGGGATTGCACCATTCAACAGCTAGCAGGGCCGAAGGGCTGACCGCCACTATTCAGCCTGGTCTACACCACCCAGCTATCCCACACAGCTACTCGTATCCAGAGTAGACTGCACTGGTATAGCTTGCTACACTTTCAATGGTGACCTCTAGGCAATCAATTCAATCAATGAGCATCTCAATTGCGTGTTGTGCTTGTATCTATTTTGTTTTGGTGATATTCAGGGTGGCAGAGAAGCATGAAATAAATCTGATGCTGGCTAGCAATCTGAGCATAGTCTTCTGGCCAACCCTGATGAGACCGGAGAGCCTAAACATCAATGATTTCACCGTGGCACAGGAGATGCCACTGACACTTCAGAGAGTAATGACGCTGCTAATTGATAAGTATCACATGATATTCGATGACAATGCCGCTCGGGCGTTCCCCTCATCGCCTGCTAAAGCACTTGAAGCAGCGGCTTCACCTGTTCCAAATCCAGCGCAGGCTGCCGACAAAGCCAACGCTGTGGCATTGCACGATGAGACCAGTGAAGGAGAGTCCTCCATCGCTCCGTACACATCCGTCAGCATACATCTGACTCCCATTGCAAGCAAGACATAGCTCTGGGCCAGACCAGGGTACGCAGTCAGTATTCTGAGTGATTGTAGACATATCTGTAACGTTACCAACATCCAAGTGAACATTCCAGGGTTATTGACGTGTTCAGGGAGTCTCATTTGGGCATTTGGGCGCTGACCTCGTCTGGACTGCAACTCCCGTGAGGTCGAAAGCATGTTGCTCGATACTTAGTGTCACGTGTTTGTATGATCATGTCAGCTCCTAAAAGAGGTGTCAATGTTTCCTTTCGTGCTTGGGTAGTCATTGTCCCTACACGTAGATCAATTCCGTTACTGCTTAGGACATCTGACAATGGCTGCGCTACGGCTACGGACAACCAACTGTACACGACAAAAAAAAACCCGAATAACATGGACTATAAACCGCAGGCCTTTTTCCTCCCCTCGCTCTCTCTCTCTCTCTCTCTCTCTCTCTCTCTTTCATACCAAGACATATTTACGTTAATCTCTCATAATCTAATCAACATCTATCTTGCTCCCCCCCCCCCCCCGTTGTGTTGAGTGTGCTTCAAGTACTTAAGTTGAGACCTTATCTGTGTTGTCACAGTGATATAACTATGTTATCTTATCAGTGTTTTGTTGATATAACTATGTTATGTGATGTAAGTTATTTAACGCGCCTTTCTGCATCTGCATTCAGACCAGTGCTGGAAAGGCGGGCACTTGATGGAGTTTTATTCTTTTCGGTTACGTTAATCCGTGCGTGGATATGCTTGTATGCACATCCATCCGCGGCTTGTGTTCGTGTGTGCAAGTGGTGAGTCTTTGTCTGGTGTGTTTCCTGACTTAATGATCAGCTCTCTTCGTATCATGTCCACTGTCGTTGCCATTGGAGATAATCATACACTGTACTGTCCGTGCAGACAATGACTGCAACCCGGCTTCCTGCACAACAGGTGCGCATGATGGAGTGTGTGTATGTGGGGGGATTGTGAAGTTGTGTACGTGCGTGTGTCTGCCTATCGTGGGTTTCACACTCTTTTCATGTAGTTATTTTTGGAAAAAAGTAGCAAGTAGTTTTTGACCATATTACCTTGTATGTTTCCGTAGCATCATTAAATTTTATTTATTCCCGAAGCTTACGTTATGCAAGACATTAAACTTATAAGCTACAGTCCATTTCAAAACTATAGACGCGTACTTAGGCAAAACCGTTATGCCCGCATCTATACCACATAAAATCTGTGATCACTTTGTGCATAAATTTTTCCAAATTGGGCGTCTGTTATCCAATCGTTTAGAAACTATTATGAGTAATTGTGGAGCGGACCTGAGCAATATTCCGAAAACTATTGTCAAAAGTTCCAGCCAAATTTGAAATATTTCAAAACCCTACGCGTCTATAGTTTTGAAATGGACTGTAGTACTATTCTTCACCATCATCATCATCATCATCAATAAGGACTCTGAAATTCATGAACCAGTTTTCGGGCATTCTCTTCAAATGAAATACAAGCAATCAGAACCTGAATAAAACATAGGGATAAGTAGCATCACAAGTTGTAATGGTTACCGCCCCTGTGATGCTACTTATCCCGTTAGGCTATGTTTCATTGGTTCTGGTTGCTTGTATTTCATTTGAAGAAAATCCCCGAAAACTGGTTCATGAATTTCGGAGTCCGTATTGCTGATGGTGATGATAGTGAAGAATAGCTTGAGATTTGTACTTTTTTTCCCTGATAAGCTTCCTGTCTCCAAGAAAGTTAGTTATGTATCTATTTGTGTTTATGAGCTAATGTTTCTTTTACTAGAAACACTAGGGCTAGCCCAGGAGCCCTCGCTATGCTTTGTTTTTACCGAGGTCGTGTGTTATTCGAACTGATAGAAACGTCTTTGCAATACAAAACATGTTCCCAATAATTGTATTGCGAAGACGTTTCTATCAGTTGGAATAACACACATGACAATCTCGGTAAAAAGTTCTAAAACCTAAGCATAGCAAGGGCTCCTGGGCTTTCATTTATTTATTTATCACGTGGCATTAGCCAAAGAAAAGGTGATGTGAGCGATAGCCAGCAATGGCGGTGATGGAGGGCAGAAAAAAATAAAATAATGAACGGGTAACTGAAGTGTAAAAGAAGCGCGGGGAGCTAGGGCAGAGCTGGATATCAACTACGTCGTAGTATGTTGCGTTCTGCAGTTGCCGTATGAATGTCTTGTAAGTGAACTGCCTGAAAAGAGAAAACATGCCAGGCCCCCCAGGACTTTGGAGTGAAAAAACCTGTCAACGCCTTCTAGGCTCAGCCTGGTCCCATAGCTCAGATGCTTAAAGCACTGCTCATCACAAACAACGTCCCGGGTTCATATACCGGTGGGTTTCTCTTTTCAGGCAGTTCACTTCCCCGACTGATCGTTTGAATTCGGAGTTCTCCCAGTCCTTTCAAAAATACAATGGGCCGCCAACAACTTGTCAGTTTGGTGCTGCCTCGTGCACGTCTGACTGTTCAAAATCTAGTTCAGGTGGTGGTCTCTGACGCATAACTTGTGCCCCGCCGTTTTCCTTGTTTCCTTTCAACAATGGACAAACAACACACAAAAACAAACAAACACAAACAACACAACAAGACAAACAAATAACAATATAACCAAGGATTACTTCAGCATGATCCCAGGTTAGCTTCTCTGCGACCAATGTTCCTGGCAGTGTGCAAACACCAGCCAGGAAAAATGTTTCCTCCGATATGACTACAAACCTCCACGCACACCGTTCACCTGCTCAGCTCACATGCCGGAAAGTTAATGGCAGCAGAGAGGCCACTAGGGACCCGCTGAGTTTGGCACGAGGGAAGACTACATTTCCTTGTGCAATACCATGGAGTAAGCATTGTTGGGAGCATTACTAGACAGGTAGGTGCACACGCTACACATGACCAGCATCTTACTTGATGCTGTTCTTCTCCTTTTGTCTGCGATTGCAGAACCACACGCGGACCACATCTCTATCGTAACTCATTGCGTTGGCATACTTGGTGAGTTCATAGGCTGTTGGTTTGGGGTTTCTGCTGAAATACTCCTCGAGCTGAGTCAGATTAGCCCCGGTAATGGACGTACGTTTTCTTCGTTTCTTGGTCACAGCATTACTTGTGGGTGCGGGCTGAGTGTTGTTAATAATGTTCTGAAGCCACTTTTCCATGATGGGATAATTCTTGCGCATGTTGCTGTGGCTCAGCTGCAATGCTTCAAAGCGGCACACTGTGGTCTGAGAGAAACTGCTGCCGTAACGCAAGCCTAACTCTCGCCCCACGTCCTCCTGGGTGAAGCCCAGCTCCACGCGCTTCTTCTTGAATTCTGCAGCGAAGTCGGACATGGTCTTTAAGCCGGGCAGGTCCCCCTCTGCGCTGGCGTCTTCTCTATTCACCATGGGCTCAGTGGCGGAATCTGTGCTGTCTTCTTCACTGATGTTGTTGCGTCCACTCTCCAAACCATCGTTGTGTTTGTCAGATGAGTAGTATTGACCGTCCAAGGTGCAGGCATGCTCAGCCAATGCATCCCCTTTGTATTCAGGATATGCGTGTGCGCCAGTCACAACTACGAGTTCTCCATTGAACACTGCTGCGTCACACTCAGGCTTGACAATCGAGCGCTCCTCGTGCATGTCATGTTGCTGCTCATGCTGCATGGCGCTGTGTCCATGGTATCCAGGGACGTCTTCTCCGCCAGATCCTGCGGCCGCGCGGATCTCTTTTGCTTTGAAAAGGACAGCATGCGCTTCTTTCTGGAGCGTATGACTCGGGTGTTTTCCCAGAACCATTGAGTGATCATGTGCACTGGCCAACACATGATCCGGCACGTGAATAATAACTGTCTCAGCCTTCTGGCCTCTCCGCTTATTTGCTGTGGGAGAGACACTCTCAGTTTGATCATACCACATTTTCAATTTAGGATAAACCTTTCTCATGTGCTTGTACTTCAGCCGCTTGTCCTCGAATCGCTGTAGCGACGATCTGGAAAAGGTCTCGCCAAGAACCTTACCAACCATATGCCCTACTTCATCCTGTGTGTAGCGCAAACGGAGACGTTTCTCCTTGAACTGCTCAGCAAATTCACTAAGACTCTCCTGAGTCAGTGCGTCGTCATCCGCATCCGTACGCCGGCCCGCTGAACGCCCGTCCTTCCTTTCCTCTTGCACGCCGCTCGCAGTGGTCTGCATATTTGCATACGTCCGTCTCCGGCTAGGCAACAAACTGAGACGGACCTTTACTAGTTTAGTCCAGTCGTGTTCTCTACAAAGTTAGAAGACTTCCATAGGCATATACACATCGGTCCCGGTTGACGATTGCTTGCATCAAGGATTCGCGACAGTCAAGTAATTGTTTTTCGCAATCACCAATGACTAATATACTATGTACTGCAGCACAGCTCAGTAATGGTTTTCCTATGTTACGCTCAGTATCCACGCGAGGGTCCCGAAGCCACTATTCGTAGATCGTCGTTCTCGCTCACAGACTCAATAATATGCTTCAATTTTCGGCCAGCCTGGACAATTTTCTCTCATTGCGAAATGGCGAGCCAACAAAACTTGTTGCTGTTCTTCTTGGTGCACGGTTGCAGTCAATCAATAACATTACGTGGAAGGAAAACTGCATGCTGTGCATGCTTGCGTAGATCTACCACATGTACACTACACTACTGACCTGTCTTCAGTCCTGCTCAATGAAATCCAGTCGAGTCACTCAAGTAATGTTTGCGCCTTGCATCATTTCGCGGCCCAGTGTTCGCAGGTCCAGGGCTGCGCAACGCCCGGCGCGTACTTGAGTGACCGGACTGGATTTCATTGAGCAGTACTACATTGTAGTCTGACTGTAGTACTTGTACTTGTAGACTCTCCACGCTGGCCTTGCCTATCGTGATGGAGCATTTGCGTGAAGGCGCGCGCGCGTGTATCGATAATAATAGATTAGTACTACAAAGTCCTTGTACTAGTTGTACTGCAAAGTGCAATGTAGTAGACCATGGTACCATGCTGGCTAGACGCATACAGTGCACATGACATAATGTCACCGTACGTCACTACGTGCGCGCGCACTAGACTTCCCATGTTTTGCATTTTGCCTTCGGGGTGAGAGTGAGACAGTGAGTTACTAGCCTCATGCAGTTATGAACTAATTACTTACTTATGAGTTATGGTCTACAAGTACAAGTACAATGGCATTGTTAGATTGACAGCAACCTAAGTACAATGCCAATGCCAATGGTCTACCAAACGACGGCCACGTGACCAAACCGGACAACATCCCAGCATTCCGCCGAGCTGCCATTCCCTACACGTTGTAGACTGCTACACAATTGGTCACACCATGGTATTCAGTACCCACGAACTTTGCAAAGCCGCGCCGATAATATGATAATGTACCGTGGTGCATGCACCGATGGTACCAACACTTCGTAGACTGCCTCCCGTTCATTTCTGTGCTCCTGTCTTTATTCTCGTCAGCTGTGTACATCAGCAGTTCAATTCTGTGCTCCAGTCCTCTTTATTCTCGTGAGCTGTGTACTTGTTTTGCTGTTTGTTTGGTTTATTTGAATTCGCTCAGTAACCGTGTACTTCAGCTATTCTCTCCTCCCTCTTCTGAATTTGACTCTCGGCTGGCCTTCTCTCCTCCCATCCCCTTACATTGTATTGGGCCTCCGCAGCTCCCCCCCCCCCCCCCCTCCACGCACACACTACATTGTCACATAGCACACAACTCAACCATTCGCTACCCTGTTATTGAGCACTCCTGCTCGTTTGGTCTCGCGAATCCAAATAAAATCAATCAATCAATCAATCAATCAACCGACCATACAAATTACAATGTCATGTACAGCCAGCCAGTGCAGTGCAACTAAAAATGCAATAAACTTTATACTTGGACAGTTGGAGTACAGTC